GGAGGGAAGAAACGCGAGTGCGCGCGATAGGGAGGAAATAGCAATTATCGGAGTTTCCTTTTCCGAACGCGACGGCGAGCTCCGCGAGTGGCTGAGCTCGCGCGCGCTCGAAAGCCGCACAAATACCGGCTTTATCCCCGGATAATTGATATCAATATTAATTTCATATTCTGCTTATTCGCCCGCAGAAGGATAACGCCCATATTGATTCGTGTTCGTTCCAAGCTTATCGATCAATTTGGATTTTATCCTGTCAACGTCGTCCGGCCGAGTCCGGAGTAATTTTGCGAAAATAGAACGACCGCGTCTTTCCCGTCAGGGTTTTAACGTACAACGTACAATATTGCAGATATCGGAACGTTTGAAACATTTCGCTCTCTGGTGGAACTGTATTTCCAAGTAAAATGAATAATAACGGAAAATGGATAACAAACAATTTAATGACGGCGACGGACGAGATAATCGGAGCGATGAACGAATATCGCACGGCGGAGCTGAATGCCGACGCGCGTCGATCTCTTGCCTCGTGAATATGAATAAGGGAGCACTCGCAAATTTCACAGTTATGTCCTCTTTATCCCGCGATTCTCAAGCTTGCGCTATCGCGCGAGGAGGAAGAAAAATGCAAACGAGCTGCACGCGAGAGAACGGAGGCGATGTGCAATAGAGATAATCAAGAGGGGGAGAGAGAGGGGGAAAGAGTATGTTGTACGGGACGAACGAACATGTTCGGAAAGAATCAGAAGCCAATGCCAAGGCCGGCCTGATATAATTAAGATAATAGTGACGAGAGAGCTCGCTGTAATGCCCTGCCCGAGGTCGTTATTCCGATTGCACGCCGAGAGAGAGAGAGAGAGAGAGAGAGAGAGAGAGAGAGGAGGAGGAGGAAGAGGAGACGCCATTCTTGCGCCCGAGGATTTATATTTGCCGATATCTATATTTATCCGAACGCAGTCTAATAATTGCCGCAACGGCAATATAATTTTAACAAATCATTAGTTGCCTTATTAAGGTACTCTTAACCGGCCTATTTATAGTCCGCTCGAGATCAGCTCGCTACGATCAGCAATTCGCAATTACTCGCGATGGATCAATTAATAAATGAACCTATCGAGGAGGAGAAGAAGGGAGATGTGTAATCCCGCATCAGATTCTGAAACTCGATCTGAAATTCTACGCAGACCAACGAAAGAGAGAGAGAGAGAGAGAGAGAGAGAGAGAGAGAGAGAGAGAGAGAGAGAGAGAGAGAGAGAGAGAGAGCTTCATTTATTTACGCACCGCGCGCCATTCCCGATTATTAAACACACGCGGCCGATGGAAACGTGCTTTCAAACAGGAACTTTGTATCTAATTGAAAATTAATGCACGGGGATATTCGAGCCAGGCTGGTGCCTGGCGCGGATAAAGCTGAAATCAATCTCGGCGCTGTGCGACGTACTTTTTATTATAATAATAATCTTTATTAACGACAGACCATTTAGCAAACACACACACACACACACACACACACACATACAGATTGAGTAGCACAGAGTCCCTTATGAAGGCCCCTGTATAATATATCATATCAAAACAGCGCTCAGTGAGAAATACGGCTATCGAGGAATTCAAAGACCCCGAGATAGAGAGCGAGCAACCGAGCAAAAACCGCCTCTCAAAGGGTTAATCAACGTGCCGTGGAGGGGGGGCATTATAAATTGTCGGCGATCTCGTCGAAAAATCGCATGGCGGAGATAAAATCACGGCGACGCGCGATGCGCGGGAATGCAGGATATATTTCAGGAGCCACTTTTTTATCGCTGGTCGAGCGCCTAAAAACATCCAAGGTAAATCGATCTGTGTCGCTAGTGTTGCAATGTTCAACGCCGGCGACAATTTTTTCCCCCAATCGAGTCACTTTTCAAACGGAATTAAACGGAGATCGAATTTTCCGCTGGACACCTGTTCGGGAAGAGCTCGACGCAGAGCTCGAGAGTGCCTTCGTTTCCTCGAGGGAGGGATCGGGGGAAAATCATGGTTTCTTCCCTCGCGAGAGGGGGAGGAGCTCTTCAAAAATCAATCGGCAGATATATCTCAGGTAGGGGAGGGGGGGCTGAATAGAGTTCAGGGAACACTCGCGGTGCACTCGCGCGGGAAGTCTCGTGCGCGGCCCGATTGTCTCTTTTCGTCTTCATTCGCCCTTGTAATGCACCGCGCTCTCGTCTTACCGCGGCCGAAAAGGAGACGCCAAATGCGCAATGAGGGATTCTCGATAAGCCGGCGGAGCAAACAGCTCTAAAAGGAATATAGAAGCCGTGTTTCACGATCTCGCTGCTTCTCGGCTCGCCTCTGCCTCCTCGACGCGGCCCATCATCTCTCGATCGATGTCGCGATGGTCGTTCTGAAAATCCCCTGCAGATTGTCCCCGTGTAATAGCGACGGATTAAAAACGAGCCTCTCGCGATGCGACGTGAGCTCGGAGTGAGTTCGGTGAGGTCGTCGCAGCAGCGACCAGAGTAAAGCATGACAATTCTCATATATTGATTCCGAAACGGCAGCGACGCCATTTCGCCGGGCCGTCCTTTTCGGACGGACTTTTATGTGCGTGGGATAACAATAAAATCATTGTCTACTCGTTTTAATCAACGTCGTCAAATACGCATACTTGGCCGACGTGCGCAAATTCTCACACGCGATTCTCAGCGGTTTCAATTCCGTGGATAACTTCGCCTGTCGGTAATCAACGCCACGGAGTCAGCGGAGCTGATAATTGATATTACGAAATAATTAACGGCGAGCGAATTAACGAAACCGGCTCACGATTGATTCGCGATGTAAAATTCAACGAAGCAAACAAGATGCGGCTTCGGTAGATTCATGTCGCGTTTGGATAACTGTGTCGTCCGTCGTCGTCGTCGTCGTCGTCGTCGTCGTCGTCGTCGTCGTCGTCGTCGTTGCCGTGAGACGACGATTTTGCATCCATATTTCAGCGATTGCGAAATTTTCGGCCGTGTAACTTCTTCGACGTCAGCCGACACAAACGGTTGCACGAGTATTACATAATTTATCTGCAAACGACGGCCATTTCCGAAATGGGACGACGTACAACAGAGGCGAGAGGGAAGGAGACGCCAGAGCAGACGCGCGTCTCATTAGAATCCATTAATTAAGGCCGCTCGTTTCCATTAATGAGCCTGCGCTATTAGTCACTCGCAGGTGGCTTGAAAGCGACTTACACGTCGATTACGGCGATCCATTTCTTTCCGCGACAAGGAGCTTGTTGTGGTCATTTTAATCGCGAAGAGAGAAGGACGGAGAAGGGAACAGAGGGAGGGCGAAGTATCGCCTAATCAAATTCACGTCCGGCTTGATTATTAAAACACGATCGATTTCCAAGCGCTTTCGGCTCGCCTTTATTTCATACTTCTCATCGTAAAAAAAGGAAATTAAATGTGGTACGCACTTTTTTATGTTCTTGTGCTTTTTACAAATGCCGACGAACTGACGACCGATGATACGGTGCGATGATACAATCGTGCATTATGAGTCGCCATAAATAATGAGACGAAACGTTTGATCTTCCAATTAAGATCGTGAGCGGAGGGACGATCCGTGTGATCCGGTTCCCGTCTTAACGATATATTTGCGACTAACGACGATTATATACGCTTTCTCAATAGCAATACCTTGCTTTCTCTTGTTCTGCTTCCCTCTTTTCTTATCTTTTTTGCGCTGTGCATACATGGCTACGCATTAATTACACGTTATTAATTAAGAGGCTACAGTGTTTGGCCGAAGATGACCCTGTTTCTTTCCCCCCCTTCCCTTTCTCTCACTCTCTCTCTCTCTCTCTCTCTCTCTCTCTCTCTCTCTCTCTCTCTCTCTCTCTCTCTCTCTCTCTCTCTCTCTCTCTCTGTCTTCTCTTTTCGACAATGAACAGCGATCTTATCGTCGACATGCACCGCGTATGATCGGAAGCCGCGCGATAATCAGTTCCACCTCCTAAAGCCTCAGGGGATATTAAAAGAATTCGCGAATCGCATGAATCGCGATGAGCTATCGTGAACACGTCGGCTCGAGATTTTCTCGGCGCAAGTCACGCTCGACGAGGACGCTGTCAAATTGCCTCTCGACTAATTACATCTAACGACTGCGATCGATCGGAAGCGCAGAGAACGAGGAGAGAGACAATATAAGAGAAAGAGAGAGAGAGAGAGAGAGAGAGAGAGAGAGAGAGAGAGAGAGAGAGAGAGAGAGAGAGAGGGATACGTGTTCCAAGGTGTTGCCGACGTGTCCTCGTTCTGATCTTCGTCGTTCCGACGCCCAACTCACTCTTCCGCATGACCGATCAACCCGCCAAGATGCGCAAAGTGATAGTGACTCTCGTAAAATCCTCGGTAGATTCTCGCTCGACGACGGAACGACGATCGAATTGTCCTCGATTTCTATTAATCCACTGAACGTTTCTTCAGAGTGCACGTCGAGCCTCGAGTCAGGACTCTTCCTCGCGAGGATCTCTCTTACAACCGGGATAATAATCGTGTTTGTTAGGGCAAAATTTCAGTCAATTCGAGAAAGCCGAATAGTATTAGCGATTCGTTAATGATAAGGTAAAACAGCTTGTTACTCGGCTGTTTTTCAGGAATAACTTTACGACGGAACAAGGAACTAACAAGGAACAAAGTCAAGAGTTGGACTCTACTTCCAAATTCAATCCTATAGTGCAGTAAAATTTGACTCTTTAAACTCTTGCTGGAGGTGAGCTTTAATTAAAAAAAAAAACAAAGAAAAAAAAAAAAATAAAAAAGAAAAGACCCCGTCTCTACAGTGTCGCGTCAAGATTTATAATTTCAAGACCCGAGAGAGTCCCAAAGGAGATCACTGTTAAAAGAGAAACTCTTCAGATTCGCGACGAAAGATCCTTACGAGAGACTAGACGTCTTCAAGCAACGTTCCTCGTGACAATAGAAAGTTCAACGATGATCCGAGTTTGTCTTCGCAGCGTCGTCGTCGTCGTCGTCGTCGTCGTCGTCGAGCAAGTTTTCGTGGTGGCAGGTACAAAGATGGCGAACAAGGTACGTGAAGTGTGTTCCCGCGCTCTCGTCCCCTAGAGCGGCCGGTCGGTCAGAGCTTGTCCTGGAGAGCCTGACGAAGTTCCTCGGTGGCCTTGGCCACGTCCTGACCCTGCCGCGAGTGCATCTCCGAGCGTACGTGCTGCACCGACGAGTTCGACCGTCGCACGGAATTGCCGCTGCCGAACTTGGGTCGCGGGATTCGCACACGCTGGACGTCGCTCAGCCAGGACTCCATCGTTTTCCTCTGGGCAGAAAGCAGCGACGCAGAGCGTTCATAATGACCATTAGCGTCATTAGCAAGTCGGTTATTAGCCGAGAGAGGCTTCGGGTTCGTTAAGGTCGAGCCGAGGAGTTAGAGAGCGACCGAACGAGAGAGAAAGAGAAAAGAGAGAGGGTCTAGGATGTGGAGTTTGAAATTAGAGTCTACTTTTCTAATTGGTGGATTTCAGAATTTTCATGGATTCCAACACCTGAGAATTTTAAGGGACGCAGCTTTCGAAGTCTCTCCTCGAATATTACACGGCCAATAAACCTCGCAAACTGAAGGTTTCGAGACGTCGGAGGGTCGATTATTTATTCGACTATGACTATGAAAGGATAACCGAATGAAGGAGGTAAAACGGTAGAAGCGTATCTTCCTCGTGTCGATCATCTTCTTCGCGAATCTGTTTCAATCTCTATCTATCTATGATCTCGCGGAGGATAGTCCTGCGAACAATGGCGCATATAGATGTCCGAGATCGAAGATCTCATGATGTCGAGAGTATCTATGGAGATTGAAAAGGCGCGCGCGGGCCTTGAAGTGAAGAGAATAACTCGATCTACTGAGATTTTACGATGTTGTTTACGCCCGGTCGCGCCAAGAACGAACCGAGGGTGAGAAAAACACGACGGTCTCCTGCAGCAAGAGAGACCGAAGATAAAGTCTGAGTAAGCGATTTTCGAAGCACGTATTCAGTACCTGTCAAATATGCTGATCTTCTCGGCAAATTCCGAGCACCGTAATCTCCGCCAATCGGCGACGCGTAGAGAAGCTACAATCATTCCCGAGAACCCCGAAATCTCTCCACACTAAACAAACTATAAACACACGAATCGCCTCGCGAGTCGCGAAATTCAAGATCGTAGAAAAAGCAGCAGATTTCGTAACGCATCATTTATAAAAATGTAATGGGACCCAATCAAACGTCGTGTCGTTTTACGACAAGGAATTATCGACAACGGAAATGTACACACGCCTCACCTCCTTCTTCGAACAAGGATTGGACTCACTTTAGCGGCTCTGCCCCTCGCATGAAATATTGGGTTGGCAACTAAGTGATTGCGGATTTTAAATAAGAATGAAAATTCAAGATTCAAAATTTGCTTTTTTAAATTTTTTTCAATGCATGCATGCGATACATTGAGCTTCTCTGCAGTATCACGTGTTGTGCTATGACGATCTGAATCGATAATGGCCTTGATATGGGTCTCATCGACTTCAACTGGACGGCCAGATCGTTGAGCATTTTTCAATGAAAAATCACCAGAACGAAATCTGGCAAACCAATTTTGACACTGCCTTTCTTTCAAGGCTTCATTCCCATATACGGCACATAACCACTTGTGTGCTTGCGATGCGTTCTTGCCTATTCGGAAATAATACAATAAAATATGTCTGAAGTGCACGTCTTGCTCTTCCATTTTTAAATTGGGATAAAAACAAAACTAAACAACTAATCGATATAATTTTTGTACTAAATGAAAGGTAAAAGTCCAGAAACAATAAGAAAAAAATATAGGTTAGGTACTTTGAACACGTTAACGAAACAAAAGAAAGTGTAAAATCCATCTGTCGACAAAATCCGCAATCACTTAGTTGCCAACCCAATAATTCGAGTAGACTCGAAGGATCCGTACATCCCGCGCGATTGCGGCGGATTGCGACGTTCCTATTCCAAGATCGCGACTCGAACATTCTCCCCGCGCGCGGGCAAAGACAGACGTTAGACAAGGTCTGACGAGTTTTACGGCGACTCTATTATCGCGGTCACCGCGCCGACCCGCCGCTTGTATGCACGTGCACCTGCATGTGCAGCCGCATGCAGCTTCGCGGGCGGGATTATTATCATCCCGCTTCTGTGCCGCTTAATGATCTCGCCGCGGCTAGATTTCATCGGGCGCAGAGCAGTTTCCTAATCGAAGCGGCGTAATTACACGATACGCGAGCGGCGCGAGCGGAAGGTTTCCGATAGCGCGTGAAATTTCCGACGGGGAATGGCAATCCCTCGCGAGGACTGCGGGCAAGTCCAATTTTTCAAATATTCGATAACCGAGAAAGTTGGCGCCGTTTTTCTACATTTTGTCATTGTCTGACCGCACGTGCGTGCATTATCAGCTAAAAGGGTGGTTATGTGCGCTTAAACGAAAGCTTATTAAACAGAGAGAGCCTAGCCCAATGTGTACGACAATTGTGAAAATTAAATGTTACAGAAATTTATCTCCGTTGATTAAAACGGCACACGGCAACTTTCTTGGTTACTTAATATTACAGTAGCGAGGAAAGCGTCGAGAAAAAAACTTCGCATTTATGCGCGCCCCAAGATGTCGCGTCGGAAGTACGTCAAACAATTAATGATGGAAAAAATAAAATTTCTCGAAACACAGGAATTTTTAACAGGATTCACTATCAACAGTATTAACAAATTAATTATAAACAGGACAGGACTCGATTCAAATACAACGCAACAATAAGTTCCTTTACAAGAAATATCCGACTTTTCTAACAAGAAACAACGGTGATATTACATGATACTGAATAGATATCTGTCAGATTTACCGATATCGCGAGGGAGATTTCGAATTCTCGCGATGGAAAATTCAATTTTCCCCTGTTCTTATCCCGCGGAGTTATCTACACATGCGTTATCGCGCAACGATAGTCACACTGTTTGTCGAGCATTGTCAAGCGATTTGTCGGAAAAAGAAACTGGATTTACCCGGCTCTTGTCTTCCTTCAATTATCACCGTGCCCGGCCCACTTTTCGCATAATGCATCGCTGAAACGCGGCGACGAGCGTATTACCGCAAGCGGGCCACGTTTCTCCCTCGAAAAAAAACGTCGCCGCGAGGGGCAACGTTCGCGCGAGCGAGGCGCCTGTGATTCGGAGGAGCCGAATCGACAGAACCCAGCTCGACAAAAACCAAGAGGGAAGCGCGATTTCCATCGGATGCGCGAGTGCAGCGAAATGTCAATTGACGTGTTTAACCCATTTATATCACGTTTCTCAGAGTACGCGGAATATTTCGCATCGCGCGCGTGCAGAACGCACGACCGACGAGAGAGCTCGCGAGCGCGTCGCGGAAGATACGAGTGTTTGCAGAACGGAATTGTGGCCCGCGGTAGTACAGACAGACAGACAGACAGACAGACAGACAGACAGGTAATCGCCGCTTAGAACGTCAGATCGCGAAAACAATCGCGACAGCGGAAAATAGGTGCTTGGGTCGGGATGTCTCTCGGCTGGTGAAATATCGAGCCGCAAGAATGGCCCTCTAGAACAACTTTGGACAATTTCCCCGAGATTCTCGAGGTTGATAAATACCTGCTGATGACTGCCTGAGGGTGCGAGAACTCGGACCTGACTCGGTCGGGACCCGACGATCGCGATCCGCAAGGGTTCGCGGTAGCTCCTCTGGACTCGGTCTCGTGAGACTGGCAGAAAGAGAGCGACGAGATGCGACGAACGCGCGAAGGCGAAACCGCGATCGAGACGACTGATGAGAACGATGGCGAGGAGAGAGCGCTCGTTTCGCTGGTGCCTGCGCGACTGATTCAGGAATCGGGCATGAAGTGGCGGCCAACTCTCAGGTTTACGTTTACCTGATCGAGAGAGTGAGTCAGGGGTCTCCCGAGAGGAGGGAGAGAAAGAGCGCGGAAGGAGACAGAGCGGGAGGAGGAGGAGAGAGAGAGAGAGAGAGAAAGAAAGAGAGAGAGAGCCAACGAGGGAGGGAGAGGGAGAGAATGGGAGGAATAACAAGCGCAGGTAGGAGACGAAAGAGCGAGGAGGATCGCGAGCGTGTGCGAGCGAGCGAGAGAAGGAGGATTAAGACGGAGGTGAGAGCGGAGGGGTAGAACAGGGAACAGGTGAGAGAAGGTCAGGAACGTAAGCGATGGAGAGCAGAAGCGAGAAACTCTCGTACGGGCTCTTGGGCCCGCAAAAAAGGGAAAAAGCTGACGCGCGTTCGGCTCTACCGAAGCGTTACGACATCTTGTCGTTTCTGATATTTCCTTTGTCATTTCCTCACGACTTCTCTTTCGGGGCAACGTTTCCCCCTGCACTCTATTCTCGTCTTACTCACCGTACGGTCTCTCCGTACTTCAGACATGAAGTTTCATTTCGCGCACCTAGATTACTCCCGCGAGGCATATTATGACAGAAGAGCGCAGCGATCGCCAAGGACGAGCGTGTGATGTTTCGCGGAAAAATCGTGCGGCAAAGTGCGCTTTTTAGGGCCCGAGAGAATCCTGGCTACGTTCCTAAGACCGGCTGCTACAACGTTGCCAGGTCGGCAGCCAGGAGCTGCAGCATCGAATGCAGGTTACACGCACATACAGTCCTAGGTGTATCCTCTCTTCGGCGCTCTCGGGCTATCGAGAGTCTGATAACAGGGGCGTAGCGAAATGACACGGACCTAGATCGTATCGGTCGCGTTGCAATTATGCGATTCGCAAAAAGGAAAGGGAGGAAGAGGAAAAAAAGACGAGGGGAATTTATTGTGTGCGCGCGAGAGAGAGAGAGAGAGAGAGAGAGAGAGAGAGAGAGAGAGAGAGAGAGAGGAGGCCGAAGATCCCGGTGATAAGAAAAGCGCGGGTTCATCGATGTGATACGTATGTGTTGTGTACGTTCGCCGACATGCACGCGGCCGATGATATAACGAGGCGAGATGGATCGCGTGACACCTTCGATTGCACGATATCTTTTTTGCTTGCACCGGACGTGCACCGACACAACAACAGTAAATACAAACAATCGGGGAGGCATTCTAATTTCCCGGCTGTATTACATAGTTATGTACTGCCGAGAGAATCAAGCTGGTGTAAGAAGATTATTCGCCGACTGTGTGTGTGTGTGTGTGTGTGTGTGTGTGTGTGTGTGTATGTGTGTGTGTGAAAACGAGAGTGACTTAAATGGGATGTAGCGATATGTGGGATTCATAATGTGGATACGAAGCTGAAGTAGTAATGTTTCGTTATCTCAGTCTTGAAATTGATTTGTGAGAAGTCGCATGTGAGAAAGAACTCTGTTTATCACGCAAACACACTTGAGGATGATATATCTTTTTTAATTAATTCGGCCGCGTTGAGTGACGACAGGGACGAGCGTAATGTATCGAAAAATGATTATTACATGTGTACGAGAATATAATATGAGCGTTACGAGTTCGTCGAACTTCCACGTATTGCGTCACTCTTTCAACCAGTTTGTGAGTGACACCTACGCGCGGAAATGGACGTGATCCATGGGCTCGTTGGTCAGCGATCTACGGACGACGAGTTGGCTACGGCGGTAGGATACGCGGTTCTTCAAAAACGGGTATCTCGGCTACACGAGGATTACCGACTTATTGCTGCCTTTAGCTTATCGTTCGCGTATATTTTTAGCGCCTCCCTGATAACACTCGCTAACACTCTGAGAACATTGCGCGTCTCTAAAAAGGCAAATATTCACATAAAAAGTTCAGACTTCTCATCGCTTCTCGGTGGGAAACGTTTGTCCTAACATTCGATGTCTCATCCAGCCCTCAAGTATGAAAAATTCTAGTAGGAAAAAAATCGCAAAGACGGACGGAGTCTTTAATTTCTCGAAAAGTTTAGCCCTCCGAAAAGAACAAACATGCAAGATATGAATTCTATTCTGAAAGCTTAAAATCCCAGAGTTGGACTTCCTCCTGTCTCCGGAAGGGAATCTTTAACTCTTCACTCGAGCACATGTCACCGATCGCCCTCAGTTCCTGAGGAACGTCCCTCATCATTAGTCCGTCAAATTCGCGGAAATTGACAAGCGACTCTCTCCCAAGACTTATTCCCGCCGAGTCGATTTCAATTGGGCTGTTTATCGCGCGGCAGCGTTGCCGCGTCGTCGCGCACGAAACCGCAGACACGTTCGTTCGACAGGTGTCATCATCATCGCCGGATGACCAAGAGAGAACCGTCGTTTCATTTCCTATCACTCCCGGACGAGTGGAGAACAGGAACGACCGGTTGGTTGCTCGATTACCCGTTCCAGGAACGAGAAACTTCGTCGCGGCTGCTTCACCGTGGAATCGACGAACGCACCGCGACAGTTGACCCACATCGTGAAATCGTAAAACACCGGTCGTCTTCCTTCTCGGCGGTCCCCGTTCGGCGATTCGCCGCCTTGGGACCTCCGTTTGTTCTACGTGATCCTCGTCCCGCGTGTATAACGGCACGCCGTCCCGAAACTTTCTCCAGCGGCACACACCACGGCTCGCGGCAGGCCCATTAATAAGCGGCGATTATTATTATTTCCTGCCGTCGCGCGCGCCGAGACTAAGGTTACTGGGTGACCACGGAGACGCGATTTGAATTTAGAGCAATGCCGGCGACGTATATACGTAGTATATCGGAGCTGAGCCACTTTGAATTCAACGACGATCGCGGGACTCGTTCCCGAATCCTCAGCTGAGTCACGTTTGTTATTATTTTCTGTTCAAACTCTGCGACACCATTGTTTCTTCTCTTCATTTTCTGTATCTCATTACCTATCGCAGCGCTCGAGCGTCGCGTCGTGCGCTGCTCGCAATCGCGCGTTCCTCGGAACGGACTCAGGGAAGAATTTTTCAGGGAAAGCAAGTCCGCAATCGCTACTTTTCAACAATGCAGAACAAAAAGATCTCTCTCTCTCTCTCTCTCTCTCTCGTCTTCTCCCTTTCAGTTCTTCTCTCGCCGTGGTGTAATCGTTAAATGCGCTCTCTCACGAGCATCACACAGCCTGCCATGACCAAGACGCTCTTTGTAGCCTGGAACCTGCGCGGTTCCCCGCGCGCGGTCTTTCATAGCTGAGAGGACGTGCTCCAGTTAAGACGGCAACAATCAGGTCCACCTGCGCTCCGTCACGCGTCCCCGCGCAAAATGATCGTAAACACGCGCGTGACGATTATGTAGGCCCACGATCGCTCGCGAGGAGAGACTGGGGAGGGGGGATCGAGTTATTAAATCCAGTTATTATTTATAACGCGCTTCCCAGGTATCCCGCTTCTGGCGAGATCGAAATCCTCGCGGGGGAGCCAATCGCGCCGGGCAAAGTCAGCTTCGACGGCCGCCGATCGCCGGCTGTGTTAAGGAGGCTGTGGAAGGTCAGATTACTGAAAAATCGTGCTTGTTTTTGATAATGACTTTGTGACAAACTGAATAAATGTGCAAGAATGTGCAGAAATTTTGCATATATTTATATAACATACGAAGAGTAGAAAAATTTTGTTTTTAAACAATCATACTCATATAAATATACGTCCACTTAAATTTTAAATGCGTTTTTCTCGAAATTTTATTGTTCAACTTTTTACAGTGATTTCTCCGAAACTGAGCTTCGTATCGATTTGAAATTTTAAAGCAATAATATTTGTTCATGTGGTTCTCAGGTGAACCATGGACAATATTCCGTCAGAATATTTCATTTCGAGATATTAATTTTTTTATCGTAAAAGAACTGAAAAATTTGAATTTTTTCCTAATAATAGCTGCCACTTTGTTAATTTCGTTCGATTTTTTTTTCTAGTGGTCATCGGATAATGATAAGCCTCCTCAAGATTTCTAGCAAAAATTCGCTCGGATCACCGAGAGCCGAGATATTACTGCAAAAACGATAACTTGAAAAGAAAAAGGAGAGTATATTTCAGCTATATATATATATATCGTATATTAATAAACAAAATTTTTCTACTCTCCATATGTTGTATAACTATACCTAAAATATTCATTCTTGCACATTTATTCAGTTCGTCATAAAATATTATCGAAAACAAGCACGATTTTTCAGCAATCTAACCCTCCAGTCCCCTTAACCGGCCCACCGGAAACACCGTCTTGCACGGCGAACGCCGGTATAAAGTATGCAAATACGGCGGAATTTGAACAGACAAAATAACGGATTACCGTGGCTGCCCGGGGAAAACGAGGGGAGAGAAGAAGGGGGCTCGACGACGAAGCTCGGTCTGAAAGCGAGGAATTAGCGGAAAAGTCGGCACGGTTGAGGCTAAAGCGAGTGAACCCGAGAGAGAGAGAGAGAGAGAGAGAGAGAGAGAGAGAGAGAGAGAGAGAGAGAGAGAGAGAGAGCGCACGAGAAACAAAGGCGCGAGAAGCAAGGCGCCTTCTCCGGCCGTGTCTCCGGCCGAGCGTGCATTAGGCGCGACGTCGGAGACTGGAAACGCCAGGAGAACTCGAAATCGAGTTGACGAAGCGCAGTACGGAGGCGCAGATCCGCGTGTGTGAATTTCGGGAGAAAGGCGGACCCCGGAAGCGGGGCACCCGGAAGAGCACCAATGCGACTTCACCGAACTTAGTTCGGAACTTAGTTCTGAACCAGCGAGAGGTCTGACATCTTATCTTCTGCGAAACGAAGGAAACCGGCTGATTAAGAGTAAGAGGGGCGGATTATTAATTACATAGCTGATTGACAATTCCGAGATTCGCACGAAGGTTTACAGCAATTTGATTATCATCGTATCCTAACGAACAGCGAAGCAGCGGAGAAGAGATTCTCCTGTTGAATGAGGACACGACATAACCCCTTCGAGAACCCTTCTACATTTCTCTCTCACACCTACCCCCCTCGTGCACACGCGCGCACCCTCGCGTGTCGCGGCTCGATGTGTTGTTTCACACCTACGTCGTTCGCTTTCATCACGCTCGCGCGACTTCCGGTGGAGTCCTCGCGCGCGCGCGCGGTCTTCGCGCCGACGTAATTAGCAGCGTAAGGGCCGCTGGCTGGACTTGGCGCGCTAACATGAGGCATTTCCGGTTGTGTTGTGCGCTACGCGATTCCGCGACGCAGGAGAGCGACGGGGGTTGTGAGGGTAGCGACGCCGAGATGATCGGTAACGGGAGACGGGGCGGCGGCGCAGGCGAGAGGGATCGCGATTTGGAGGAGGATGAGGACGAAGGCAGGGAGGAGAGGAGCTCGGAGAGTGGAGGTGGTGGAGGTTTCGGTGGTTGGAGGTCCCACCTACTCGGTGGGCTCACGCAACGCGTCAAATCCTGGTACTGGGGCGCCAGGCCCCTCGTAAGTTTTCCCATCCAGCGAACAGCAGTTAACTCTCTTTCTTTCTCTCTATATCTTCCTCTTTCTCTCTCTCTCTCTCTCTCTCTCTCTCTCTCTTCCTTTCTATATTTCTTTGCCGGACACGCACGGTTTTATATCTTTTCCACGTTTTTTTTCACTCGATTTTTTGCTCATTCTGCGTCACTCGACACATCGCACCCGATTCACGGGAGGGAGGAGGACGAGGGCATCCGCGAAGGAGGAAGAAGGTGGATTAAGATTGAGAAATTTAGGCGATCCCAAGGACGAAAATCTCGGATGTTATGTGTACTATGATCTCCCGATTTTTCTTCCAGTCAGTATTATTCGGTCTCTCTCTCTCTCTCTCTCTCTCTCTCTCTCTCTCTCTCTCTCTCTCTCCGATTTGAAATCTGCTTTCATTTTTATACGTTTGGAGACTGGCTGGTTCTCGCTGTTAATTTGAATTTAAATACTCATTGAAATTAGTTTACGCAATCCAACTCCTTCGGACTCGCGGACGCTCTCTCGTGGGAGTGTGAGGACGACGTGCACGCGGCATCGATTCGGCCAATCTACCATCATGCCTCGATGAGAAGGGGGGAGTGGGTGCAATCAGCGCAACGAGCGGCGATTTTCGTGTCGGGGCGAGGAAACGTAGAAAACGTTCTGTCCGGACCTCGCCGGAAGTCGCGATAACATCTCGGCGGAAAAATTATAATGCAAAGCGAAATCGCAATCGCGAGTCCATCGCCGTTGCTAAGTGGCCGCTCGATATGACATCATAACGGAGACGGGGAAAGCGATAATTAGCATTGTAAATTCACCCGAAATTCAGCCTTCCGTCGTAAGATTGGCCTCACAAATTGACCCGACCATTTCTGTGCTACACATGTTTCGCGCAGCGTGTAATCGCTGAAATTTCTCCCACCGTTCTTCACTTCTCTCTTCGTTTACTCAAGCGGCACATGAGAGACACATTTTACTACTGTCCAAATTAGCGAATTACTAGCCTCGGCAGAAGCTTCCCAGCTTTCTTTTCTGCGCGGATAGTCGCGCTGTATAATCGAATTGCAAGTTATAGCGAGACATAATTGGCAAGGCGAGACAGAAAATAACACAGGACGAACGGCAGTGCGGCAATAAAGTTCCGCAATAAAAATCGCATTATACTGGAACAGAGAGACATCGTAAACTTCCGGCGAGGTCGCGGTTGCATCGGGCGCATTCAAATATGAGTTTATCCGGGTCGCGTTTACGCAATCTACCGCCGGAAGAAAGAAGAAATCGCGGCCAATCGATCGAAGAGAGCAGTGAAAAGCAAAAACCGCTCAAAAATCCGACGGGACAGAGAAGCGACCGAGCGACGACCGAGAACCGAGATTAACTCGGCGTCTCGATCGCGCGCGACAAACGGATCGTGTAATCGGAATCGCGAAAAGCGCTAATTCGCGAGAGCGGCATACACGAGCCGCCGCCGGCTGGCTGGCGAGGTAAAATGGCGAGGTAAATAAGCAGGTAAACGCGACGCGCGGAAATTGACGCGATCCGAGCCGCCGGAAGCTTTTGCCCCCTTCGGCATGAGTTCTTCCTAATTAGATTTCTCTCACACTACTACGATCAAGTTATCCTTGTGCTCCTAGAGCTAGCGAGATTAGTCGACATAGCGTTAGGTGTGTTACGTGTTTTTTATCTTAGATGTCTTGCACATGCTACTTTTTTACGATTTGTCTTTACGTATTAGCACAATCACCACGATTACATCTATATACAGAGCGTCTTCTTTGTCTTTTTTCTCTATCTTTCTCTTTTTTTCTCTTTCTCTACCCTCCCCCACCCACCCACCTTCTCTCTCTCTCTCTCTCTCTCTCTCTCTCTCTCTCTCTTTCTCTCTCTCTCTCTTTCGTCTTCGTCGCGTCGAAATTTCAAAAAATTCGCAGGTTTGGACGAATCTGGAGTCATTTCCCCTGCCGCGAGAATCCCGAGAAAAGTCTGTCCGTGGGAAGACTAAAGAGCGAGGAGAGCGTTAAACGTTAAGTAGCAGCTGAGACAAGAGATTAGAATGCAAATTGACGACTACTCGTGTCGTAGTCGACACGAGAATGAACGGACGATGCAATTTTGTTTGTCGTTTAAGTTTGAGCCTAACTTTCCTCGGCAAGTACTTTCCTCCGTGCTCAAGTGTTGATCCTTTTGACGACCATTAGACCGGATCGAAGTAGAAAGTCCATGTGCGGAATTCCCCCAGTGCGAGAAAAGAAAGAAAGGAAGAAAGTCCAAATTCGTCCCCGAATCTGTCAATCAAAGTCGATTCCGAACGAGACACTCTGTACATAGATGTACATACATACGGGCACGGGGATGTATATGCGCTGTATATTCACATAGATGTCTTGGCATGCACCATCACTGTACTCACATTGAAAACAGAGAAGAATTTTCGTGTCGCGTCTCGTGCGAGATAATTATATACAACGCGTCACCGATATATATCAATTATCAAGACAATTAACCGAGCGCGCGATGCTGAAGCTACCAGCGGCGTTTATTCGTCACCATAAACGGGCACGGCTCCACACTGCAGAATGTATTTATACATTTTCGTGCGAACGAAAGGCACAAGCTTCAGCAACTCGATTATTTAAATTGTACAAGAGAGCGCGTTCTGTGAGACGATATTTTGTGAAAAATTAATTATCATCTCAACGAATCCCCCGTGTGGATGTCGATACGTCAATACAGAGGCTCACGACGTGAACTTTTCTCGCGCAAGTTTTTCTTGCTCGAACATCGTGATGGGTGTATGCCTCAGGTAGAAAGAGAAATTTCCAGCCAGACAGAAAAATCGACCAGATTATCACGTGGGAAGAGAGCAAGGCTCATTGTGCTGACAATGTGCGTGCGTGCGTGCGTGCGTGCATGCGTGTGTTGACGGTATCACGCGGCACACCGCCTGGGCACACTTTCACCATTCTCGATTTATGTTTCTCCCGAGGAAACGAGTCGAGAACCAATTAATACACGATCTTCGCGCCTTTTTCGCCCGTAAATTCAACAAGTTCGGACTCGTTAAAAATCGCGAAAAAGTAATCCCTCTGATGTATGTGAAATGTACGTAAAAGTTATTACGAATTACGTCATTGGAGCTGTTGTTAATCCAAATTTGATTCGATGTAGGCGCGATGTGTAATTGACTCTGATCACCTTGATTACAATTTAATAAAGTATCATTGTAGAGTACCAATTAATGCCTCTCTGATCCGTTACGTTAGTGATATACTCCTATATATTTATGGAATTTATCGAAAATTACACATGTACTGTGTAGAACTGAGAGAAGAATGTCCCATTTTACACACACACACACACACACACACACACGTACAATAGCGACCAAGTACGTAACGTGATCATTCGTGAGATGAGATGAATCGATTATTGTCGTCCCAGTTGCGTGAGTGTCATACAAGTGGTAGTACAAAAGAATTCAAGAATAGAGTTCAAGAGAGATAGCTGGAGTCTTTTCTATTGCATTCACTAGCACGGCTTAAAAATATTCTTCTCTTATTACACATTATAATATATATCATACAATATGTAGCGCGCGCGCATACACACACACACACACACATCAAGTGTAAAGTATACTGTCTAATTTTTGTATTACATTTTCGATTTTTCAGTTGTGAGAAATGTACAATCATTTCTCTTACCACGCAAACCTTCCATCTGTTATTAATAGGACAATTTTTAGACCGGACGCGATGACGCGATAGAAAAGGCCCGACAACTGTTTCGAGTAGCGTGCATTAGTGTTGCAGAATTAGTCGTCTAGTGAGTCAGTACCATATTAGCTCGGTATCGTCGTTACTGCGATAGTGTCGTGGATGGAAATAGTTCTGCTATCGTTGTGTCGTTTTTGCTCTGTGCACTTGACGGTCGTACCGAAATCGTGCCCGACATGGCAAAAATAACGGAAATAATTAACCATTATGATAATAACGCGATAAACACTACAACTAGTACCACTACCATCGCCGCCGCCACCACCACCACCACCACCACCACCACCACCACTACACCACCACTATGTATCTCCGAGCACTACCAACACCCAATTGCTATCACAGCCTTATCAGCAAGCATGAATCAATTTTTCGATACATACATATATATATATTCTTGTGATCTATATATATTATACATATATCAATACGTACAACCGTATTCCGTATGTATGTGTGTACGTTATGTGTTAGCGCGTCGGCACATATAATTCACATACATGCACATAGGTGATGTGATATGCACGCAAGGAAAAGCGGAATGAAACAATGGATTCGAAATCGAACACGAGAGAGACGGGGAAAAAACGTATTCGAGAGAAACGAACCGGTGCTGTCACACCGTTTATTAAAAACGCCTTCCGGTTCTTCTCTATTATCGAGATTTATCCAGTATAACATCAAAGTGATAAAAGCGAGGAGTGTTTCACAGTCTGAAAATATCCTCTTGCACCTTCGTGGCCTGTAACTCGATTTTACCGTCACCATTTAAACGAACATTTTTCTTGCCTTGTCCCGAGTGAGAATGTTTGCTACTGAAATTGCGCGACGGAGAGAGACAGAAATCTCACTATTAAGATATCTCTCTTTCGACTTCTTTCTTTCTCACTATTATCTCCCGTTTCACTTCCAGCACGCTAGATAAGGCATGCGAGATGAGAAAGTATCGAGGGAATGGTTGGAATGCACTTTGAACGCGTCCATTTTTAAATATTCTTTTCTCTCTCTCTCTCCCTCTCTCTCACACACACACAGCTTCCGATCAGCACTTTTGCATTTTACATCTGTTTCGCGAAGAAATGCACTTTAAAGTTGCAAAGAGAGTACGAGAATTAATACGACTGTGTTTACAACCTTCATACTTTAACACCGGATGTCTCGTGGAATATCAGAACGCTCTTCCATTGCAGCGTGCACGCGAATACGCTAGCATAAGCCTTTTTAGCTCTAATGTGCTGTCATCGTGCGTGCGTGCGTGCGTGCGTGCGTGTGTGTGTATGTGTGTGTGTGTGTGTGTGCGCGTGTGTGTGTATGTGTGTATGTGCGTATGCATTGAGATGACGTTTCGGATACGCGACTGCAACTGTGTTTAATCGAACGGAAATCATTGGTGCTCATTTTCTCAAATAGTAATTGCGAATCCAAATTAATTTGAAAAATTATTGAAAATCGGCAAGTGTTATTTTGGGGAAAAGCGATCGCAAGTGATAAAATCAACAACATCGAGATCAAGTTTTAATTCGAAATTAAAGAAATGGTATTTGAAAGTCCAAAATTGAAATTTGTAAATTAGAGACAATTCGTAATCAAGAATGTTCTGTAACTGAGACTGCTTATACATTCTCCGAATAACGTTGATCATTTAACATTTCACGCCGCCATATGCGGCTCAGCGGAGAACGCGATTCGATGTTCGGAATAAAAATCAAACATAATCGAGGAGCAATTAAAAGCAGTTGCCGGTTGCCATCGCGAATCCGACGAGACGGCCGGGTTTAGAAGGCTGACGCACGACTACCGTCGTTTGAATGCAAGCTGTGCCCGTTCCAGGAGCTCGCGCACAAACTCTCGCGGAGCTTCGACATGCAGGAGGCGCAGCTGCTGGAGGAGAGCGGCTCCGGCGGCGGATCCGCCGGAAGCGGGACCGCGGGGGGCCCGCCGCGCCGGCATCACAGCGTGCAGAGGCTGACACGCAGCGAGATGTCGGAGAGACGCGAGGAGGACGGCGCCCTGGTGGTGCCCGATCATCAGGGCAACCTGCGCATCACCGTGAGGAAGACCAAGTCGATTCTGGGCATCGCCATCGAGGGCGGCGCCAACACTAAGCATCCACTGCCCCGGATCATCAACATACACGTGGGTATTGCTTCATGCTAATCGCTAACAGAGGGGGGTGTGGGGGGGGATCAGAGAGAGAGAGAGAGAGAGAGAAAGAGAGAGAGGGAGGGAGAGAGAGGGAGAGAGAGAAGTCGAAGCGACGCGACGAAGAGCCGCGGATTAGAAAAGGGGCTCGAAGTCGATGCCGAGAGATTTCGAAGCGAGTCAGGGGGTGGTCGAAATGAGTTTGGAAAATGTTGGCTGAGAGCGAGATTAGGGGCTGAGATTAAAGGGGCTATTGGATCGCTGCTGCGAAGTTGGAGTTTACGTCAGCAGACTGCTTGGGTCAAAGGGAAAAGCGAGGCTAAGAATGAAGTTTACGATGCCGTTATGCTATTATTCGCGTCATCGAAGCGGGATGGCAAGCAAACGACGGGATTTGGGGGCGACGTTTAATTAACTTAATCTATGGAGTTAGGGAAAGTGGCGAGTTTCGCGCGGATAGCGCGCTTCTGATATCGAACGACAGCTTTGGGAGGCATTTTATGTAATAAATATTATGTAAAAATTGTTACGCAATAATGTGGTTATGTAACACAATAATACAGAAATTTACATATTTCTCTCTCTCTCTCTCTCTCTCTCTCTCTCTCTCTCTCTCTCTCTCTCTCTCTCTCTCCGTCTGTCTTTCTCGTCAGAGCCTGTCTCGTCAGTGCCTCTGACGAGGCATCTTTTTAACGAGATATATTACGTCCAAGTGTCTTTTATATGACGATACGCTTCGCGTTACGACAGGCACTTGACTGTCTCTCGTTTAGATGAAGTTCGGCCTCATCGAAATGCACGATTAATATAATGCGTCGAGTGAATTTACCGGCCGCTGCCATTTACGACGCGGCATAAACAATATTATGCCATAAACGTGACTAACGCGTGCGGTAATTCATTGCAGGATAATGGTGCAGCTTACGAGGCTGGCGGCCTCGAAGTCGGTCAGCTCATCCTCGAGGTCGACGGTCAGAAAGTTGAAGGTAATACGCGAGCAAGGTTAAAAGAACAATAGATCTTTAACGCACAATATTATTCTCAGTGAAGGGTATTTTCTCGCTAGATTTTGCCGTTCGTTATTTCTCTCGTAATTTTATACAAAAAAAGATTCCAAAGATTTCAGAATTAAAAAAGTCACTTTTGGCATCAGCGGTTACAAACCTTCGAGTTCATCATAAAGATTCTAAGATTTCCAAATAAAACTCTAAATAATTCTCGCAAAAATTCTGGAATTAATGAAAAATTCATCTCCTAGATATTAATAATCAGAATATCTTGCATGTGCAAATGTGATTTCGTGATTCGAGAGGATTAATTTTTCGCGTCGTTTTCAGGGCTTCATCATCAAGAGGTCGCGCGATTGATCGCCGAGTCGTTCGCGCGGCGCGATCGGAACGAAATCGAGTTCCTGGTAGTGGAGGCGAAGAAGAGCAACCTGGAGCCGAAGCCGACGGCGCTCATTTTTCTGGAGGCGTAGCAGGAATCTCCCACCTCCGAGCCGGAACCACCGTAGCCCAACCTGACCAAAGCTCGGTCAGCGGCGATTCAGGAGCGTCGCCGCCGTTAAATCCGATCGAGACTGATAACACCGAGAATTATCCCGAATAATTCACGATTCAATCTCGCGGAGGAGGTTTCGAATCACATCAACCGCCCCCCCCGTCGAGTTCTCGATCTGGATGGCCGAGCTGTCGGTCAGCTGCTAATTCACCTGGCCCTGGTGGTGGGAACTTCACTTCACTCGCTGATGAAACAACAACAACAACAACAAAACAAACAACACTCGGAAGACACGAAGAGGGACGAAGCGAAGAGGACGACGAGACGCCGAAGAGGTGGCGCGGAGTGCGGCGTTACCTTCGGCTTCTGATCGGGACCTTCAGAAGGATCGCGCGTCGAGGCTTCGCAAAGATAAAAACAAGGGAAAAGAAATACGCGAGAATATCGAAATCCGCGAATTTTACTCACGGGGAAAAGCCACGAGTTCCTGGCGCGACCGCCACTCTTAGTCGAAGTTGCACTTCGCTCCGACACTTTTCTTTCCTCGCGTGACCGGCGTGATCGTACGAGAAGAATAAAAGTTCGCGTCGCGCGCTCGACGCCGCACGCGAGACGACCACCGCGAAAGAGAAAATTCCTTTAACTGTATATAAAATACATCGCTGTACATAACTCTTCTCTAACAGACAGTTCGATAGAGAGCAAGTAGCCACTCCGCCGAGAGCGCCTAAGACCGCTGAATTCCGAAGGTCCCGAAGGCAACGAGCAACACACGCTGGTCTCACGGCAAGCCTCTGCGAGCTGAAAAGCTGTTCGTTCGCCGTTTAATTGCGCGATCATCATCATCGTCATCGTCGATCACGAAGACGCTACCGTTCGATGCTATCGAGGACACGCGCGAGCGTTCTCTCTCTCTCTCTCTCTCTCTCTCTCTCTCTCCCCTCCCCCTCTCCCTTTTTTCTTTCACCCTCCTCCTCCCCTTCTCCCCCCCCTCTCTCTCTCCGTGGAAATCTCGGAGAGAGGACTAAGATCGATATATTTTTCATGGGCGTGTCGTCGCAAACGCAGCGTCCGGTGGCCGCTTCGAAGACGAGGACGAGGAGACAAAAACGAGACCGAAGAGAAAAGATCGTGCAATGTGCCAAACAAACGCAAGCTGTTTCACGTATACTAAATATATAAAGCTGCTAATCGATAAGGGGTTTAGTTCGAGGGGGTACGTTCTCGGTGACGCTCTCTCCCTCACGTGCGCGACCGTGCGGGAACGCGCAGGCGAATGCAACGAGAGTGCGGACCTACATGCTCACAGTGTTGCGTGAAGATTACCTCATACATTCACAGACACACACAGGAGTTTACAGGAGTATATTCGTGCGGCAGCGGCTGCGGCAGCGGCGACGACGACGACGACGACGACGACGACGACGACGTCATCGTCGTCAATAGTCGCGTCCGCTCCGGTCGGTATCGCATTAATCGTCGATTAATTATGAGAGATGCTGAGGATATGCGCAACTGAAAGGCGGAAGGGTGCGAGTCCAAAGAAAGGATAAATCAAAAACAAACGCGAATTTCGCGCGCGAATCTCTCTCCCTCTCTGTCTCTTTTCTTTCGATCTGGTCCCTTTCCTCTCGGAATCTGGTTGTGAAAATAATTTGCCCCTCGGGAAGATTCGCAAGAACAATTTTGTAACAGCACGCCAATTGAGATTGATTTGATTCGAAAACGTGACTTCGACTTGGACTCGCTTCGTCCCGCAAATTCTCGGCGAATTCGGAATCGCACCTTTCCGCTTCTCGGTTGCGGCCACGTTGATCAAGATTTTCGTTAATTCGAGTGAATAGGTGTCTTTCGGCTGGTCCTCGAAATCGCGCCTAATATCGCTTAATAGTCTGTTAAATGTTACTGTATAGATTAATAACAGTTTTTGATGTAGTTGATCGACGTTGAATCGGGCGTCGCTAGGACGTCGCGCGTTGTTCGTTTATTGCGTTATCGGTTGTGTGTTAGAGATAATTGAACTCCTCGGGCGCGCGATCATCCGCGCGAGCGCACCGCTGCGTGTACTCTTCGGCTTCACTTCATTCCTGTCCGAGAGGAATTTAACGATCCATCTGTTTGCGAAGTTTAACATTTACCGAAGATAGTCGTCGATTCTTCGAAGAAATTGTATTACCGTTGTTTCCGTTGACTTTGCTTCTAGTGATCGCGAGTCAAGAGTTAAATCGAGGAGATTGAGAGTTAGCGAGGGAATGAACACATTTCACGTGCAATTGAGCGCTCAATAGAGTTGAGCGGGGAGAACAAATACAGGCGATTATCAAGATCACGTGCGCGCGCGACACGGATATCGCGCGCGACCCGGGAGGGTTAATGATTATTTTTTCGACTGTCGAATGGCCGAATTGCGTCGATGATCGTCATCGAGGCGGAATTAACGACGATCTTGACCGAGATCGAGATGGCGTCGACTCGTTTGTTATGCGGATTGTTGAGGCTTAAAAGAAGTATATTACTCACGTACACGACGTACACATATTTATACATGTACATATAAGTATTATGGTAAGAGAGAAAAAGAAAAACCGAAAAAAAAGAAGAGAGAGGGGAGAAACTATTACCGTAGCGGAATTGCAAATTGTACCTACTTGGCGTCAAAAGTGCGTCTCGCCGAAAGGGAATAATTTAAAGGAGATAAAAAGAAAATAAAATAAAAGCATACGCGGTATTTTCAAAGAGAAAATTATACTTAGAGATGCATACACGAAAACACACATACACACACACACACACAGTAAGGGCCTGATCGAGTTCGAGTTCAAGTGAAATCGCGGGGAATCGCGGGGGATTCTGCGGCAGGATCGGGAAAGCTGGGTCTTTCGAGTCAGATAATCTCTGGCTGCTCTTAATCGAAAGAAATTCCTATTTTTTTCCTCCCGACGCGTGAACGAGATCATTCTTTGATTTCGAACGTTCTCGAGTAGATTCTCACGCGGCAACTCGACCGTGTCTGTAATTCATCGTCGGAAAATGAGACCGAATCTCAATTATAGGCAATTGTCGACAATTGCAGCAACGGACAAGAAATCGGACATCATGAGAGTTTCCTCCTCTTTGATATACGAGTGCTTCTTTTCTCGGATCGAAAAATCAGCTTAATCTCGCATATATACGAGTATGCATGATTCCGACGACACGATTACTACTCAAGTGTGTTGAGAATCTATAGAGAAGCTGCGTTGTGTAGATAATGGGGATATATAATAGAAAGAGCGGGAAAGCAAAGTGAGAAGAAGTGCGTAATGACAAGTGCACCGCGGGTATTTTAATAGGATGACCGTTTGCCGAAGAGGAAGAGCTGAGAAGCGACTCGATTGCCCGTGATTTCCCCGACTCAAAAAAAAGTCGTTAAAACTGTAGAATATATTATTACGCGTGCGAGCAATTGTGCAGTTGTATGAGAGCCAAATCGAGCCACGGGCGAGCGACGGGAAGTGTTTAACCATAATCTCCGGACGATTAAGCCCTTACCGCATACGATACGATGTGATACGACGCGAACATTGCACACAAATACGTAAAACGTCAGACTTTTGTTTCAAAAATTGTAGAAACGGGGTTTTCCACGTCTTACGGCTTTACTACTCGAACTCGCGCAGAAATGATTTGTTACAACTCTATAACTCCTCGTCGTCTTAATTCTAATCTCTATACAAAGCCTCAAATATAGATTTGAATTAAACTAGTTATTTGAAGTAAACAAAATGGTACCTTTTTCAATTGCGCTTTTGAGAAGTGCTCCACACTTGTCTCAAAAGTATTTCGTCTTTTTTGGTAATACACTTTTCCGACGAAAAGTCGACGTGTCGATGAGAAGCAATCGTATCATAAGGGTTTAATGGCTCAAGATTTCAGCAAATGTGCCAAAAAGTATGCGCTTATCACACCGATCACCGACAACGACGACTTGACGTTGGCGTAATCACGGAATAAAGAAAGGGGGAACAGGAAAGAAGAGAAAAAGTCCACCATCAAATTGAGAGAAGAATTTCCTGGAGCATATTTAAATCTTTTCTTCGCTATTCTTTTGTAATACGCACAGGAGCATGATAAATCGCTTTAGTCACTATGTCACAGTGAGAAGAGAGTTAACAAGGTAGTGAAGGAAGAATTAGGAGAGCACGAGATGAGCAAAAGAGAAAGAACGAGACGGTCGAGTTTTTATTTCTTATCTTATATAAGAATAAGAATAAAAGAGAGGAAAAGAGGATTTATCTTATCCGACCGACAAAATTTATCGAAAGGATCATGACCGGACACGAGGAACGAGAAAGGACAAAGTAGTGGCTCGAGGATTTCGCAGGACGACGGGGAGCGGCGACGACGAAAGAGGACTTGACAGATAAAATAAGATGAGATATTTTTGTAAAGCTTTCGATGTACACCGCAATTCCAGAAACGTTTCGAAGATCTCAGCTGACATATCCGACAATGCCTTATCGCTTTTAAAAACGAAAATTATCGGGGGAACGTTATGTGAATAGGAAAGATAAAGAATCGGGAACGTGAGACACCTGATACATGAGATTCGTTCGAATGAAACACACAAATACATATGCGCCCGCATAGACTCGACTTTCAGGTCGATATTTCTTTATTAAAGCCCGTTACGAAGTTACACGGTGGAAATGTTAAAGGTAAGGGTCGGTGTAGGCGTTGACGCTAATTACAAGATGAAAATGTCGAGGGAAAGGTGCGGGAGGGGACTTGGTTCGGATAGAAAACCTTAACCCTTCAACATTTTCACCTCGTAATCTTGCGTTGAGATTCATCACACGTAATATCGATGCGGTGGCCGGGTTCCGTATGTTTCATCCGAACAAATCTCACACAAGCCCATCCCGCCATTTCCGAGCCATTTTCCGCCTCTTAAGGCATAAAACATCGCGAGACACTCGGTAGCGCTACAAAGTGCTCATTTACTAGCGCAGTTTTAATAGTGACGCAGGTTTATCTTTCTTCATTTCGGAATACAGGTTGATAAAATTACAAAAAAAGGAAAAACTTAAAGAAAGTAGACAATTAGAGAGGGAGAGGGAGAGAGAGAGAGAGAAAGAGAGAGAGAGAGAGAGAAAGAGAGAGAGAGAGAGAGAGAGAGAGAGAGAGAGAGAGAGAGAGAGAGAGAGGCCGAATGATACAAGACATCGATATCAAAACGAGCATTCATTAATAAATAAATTAATTAATGGCGCAACTTTCTACCTTCTAGGTAAATGTTATTTACTTTCGCACGCACGTGCGGAAAAGTTGTAATCCGCGAAAGTGTACGATTTCGTTCGCGCGCTAATTGAGCTGCGCGTCAAGTGATGTTCCGAGTGAGCTCTTAAAAAGTGAGATCCTCCTTAATCAACGCTTTTCCCCGACGAACCGTCTAGTTCGTGAACCTTGAGTTCTGCCCAAAGTCCCGTTTTAGACGAAGACGCGATAAAAAAGAAAAGAAGAAAAAGAAGACAGAAATAGAGAGAGAGAGAAATAAAATACAAGTGCGTTTTCGCAAATTCGAAATCGCGCGAGAGTCAATTCGACTTTTCCAAGGGTTCGATTACGTAACGTTCGATTGTATAACGGTAGCTCTCGTCTTTTACGAAATAACGACGTTAAAGTCTTCTCGCGACCATCGCGTAGACCCTGACCCGGATTTAAATACTTAATCTCATATTCCTCATAGAAAATAGACACAATCCCAAGGTATCTCACGTGGCACGTTGGCGCATCGTTGTGCGATAGATGGACGTAATGTGTTGGATGTGAACCAGGGACGTTAATTAAGCAACAACACGGAGCCAAGGAAAAAAACTAATGCTACAGTCTCGCGTAACTCCTACCTGTTTACTTATCGCGATCGGAAGAGGAGAATGATAAAAGCGGCGGAGGTCTCCAGCGAAGGTGGGCGGCGCCGCGTTCATTATCGCGTCAGGCGAATTCTCGCGCGGCAATTAAATAATAACGCTAACGAAATAACACCGTCGGTCAGCTACTCGGTCAGATACTCCTCGACTTGCATCGCATCGCGAGCCGATCAATTTTATTCGTTTATTCACTTGCGAATCCTGACCTATATTGTGCATGTGATTGTAGAAATTATATTATCTCATTTTCCCTGTAAATACTCTCGCGTCGCGTCATCGGAAGAAGCGATATGGTCGGGAGGATATCAGTCCTCCGCACTCGCGCTTCAAATGACGCGGATATTAACACGTGACATTGCAGATATTCGATAATCGCATAAGAATGGAGTAAAAAAAGATGAAACGAACGATATCGTATCGTTGGGAAACGCGACGGTCGCGTTTCCGCTGGTCGCGGAAATTGAAACATCCGACGAAAAAGTCAAATTGCGCATCGACAAACTTCATCGATGAGTACAATTGTGTACGTTCGTGTGCGTACTGTTTTTCTTCGCGGATTTGCGGATCAACGGAATAAACATAAAATCCTGACGCTGCGCATCCGCTCGACACGCGATAACGAAATGTCATCTTGCGCGACGTTATCGCGAGAGAATAATAAAGCGCGTCTCCACCTCGGCATCGACACACGTAAAAAACGTGTAATTGTAATCGCGATTTACTACTGTATATATATGCAAGAGCTCGTTCATACGCGTTTCATAGGTCATCACTTTTGCAACTGACTCGTACATCCGACACACACATCAAACACACACACACACACACACACACACACATATCCGTATACACACCAGACAAAGCATACAAAAACAAGGTGACATGGAAGACAAAGCGAAGTCGACGCGCTGGATTGCGTTATAATCGAGTACTCGGCAGTTTATTGTTATTGTACGCCTCGAGGAAAATATTGCAAAGCAAAAATAAAGAATCTAATAAAGAAGATGAAGCGAATAAACTCAACACACATGTGACCACGCATAGAGGAGGGCGATTGTGGAGACGCGCGTCGCTCACCGACATGGCATGCGCGAGCGCGCGTTCATATTATTATGATTGTTCTTATCATTATGATGATTATTATTACTACGATGATGACGATTATTATTACTATAATTGAATAAAACGTTCACCACGAAAAATTCGGGCTTGTCTCTTTCGCTCTACCATCCTACTCCCTTTCCCTGATCAATCTCAAAATCTTCTTCATTTTAGATATTAGATGTGTTCATATAAATTTCTAAATCTCACCATTTACGAGTATCGTCGAAATGAAAATACTTACTGAATGTCGCACAATTCGCAACATGACCGAATGTAATTTACGCGTTTCTTCATCTCGCTCCTCGGCAAGATTTCAAACATTTATCGTTATCGTTTCTTCGCTCACTGCGGGAATCTGTTGACTCCACTTGCTAATTCCCCCCGGAGGAAAGGAAAATAAAACGGAAGACTGATTTACAAACGAAGTTTTTCATCGTTCGCAGGCCTCACGAGTGTAAAGTGTTTATGCCGCCACGCAGACAAGAACCGCTGAGCTTGTTTTCGTTCGCGTCATTCGCCTGGCGTGGGATTTAGGTAGCGCTTGAACGCTTGACGTAAGAAATGCACGAAAAGCCCAAGCACCCTTGTTCTGCAACATTTTATGCGCGGCTATAAAACGGCGGCCAGTAATAATACCATCGATTGTACTAAATTTGTATCAAGGCCCTATCTCAACCGATTTCGACCCTGCTGACTTTCTTCAACAAGTGGCGGTGTCTCGCAAAAATGGATCTCTGGCTTTTGGCTACGACTAAAATTACATGACGTCGGAAGCTGATGGGAAAACCGGGAACCGAGAAAGCAAACAATGATAAAAATATGTAAAAATAGAGATGGCGTGTAAGAAATCACATCTCCGTTGAATATATTCTTGTCTCTCCGTCAAAGTAATTCTTTTTCCCATTTTATTATTTTATAATATGATAATGGATTAGATCCAGAAAATCAGCAGGGTAGCAGTGGCTCTGCAACGTGCGAATATTGTTACACGCGATACAAATGCGGCAATTATTGTAAAAGATACCGAGAGGACATTCGCGTATGCCGGCTTTCAGAAAGTTTGTTATTTCGAAGATAAATTTTCGCCAAGGATAGAAGTAGGTGGACTGTGGAAATGGTAAAAGCGGAGCGTGAATGAGGTGGCTCTCGGAAACACTGAAATTAGAAGTCTCGCCCACACGAATCTCTCTTTGGAGTTTACACGGGCGCGTCGCGTAACTCTCAGCTGATCGATACGGGGGAAGGGGGGATAGCCCCTTACGCAACGGAACGGATGCGCACGTGATACATAAGCCTGTTAAGAATTATGTGAGGGACAGATCTTCGCGAATTGCGCATTCGAAATTTTTAGTCGGATTTTTGGTCGGAATTAGTCGTTTTTTACGGGACTAAATGCAATATCGATTTATACAAATAATAGGGTGTAATCGCGTTTGATCGATAAGATCCTTTCGGGGGTGAGAAGCGGATGGAAGTGTCAGCGCGTTTCCTCGAGCGTGAGGCGCAAAATGAAACGGGGGAATTAGAAATGCAATTTGACTAAGCATCAATTGAGTTTGTCGATTAAACGAGCCGTGACCGGCCGCAGATGTCGATCGAATTTTTAACAACGCGCGCAGCAACGCTAGGGGTTTCCCTAGTCAGGGGGGCGAATCGGTTTGCATGTTGCTCCCTATGGTTTAACGTGCATCGAAATTGCTACAAAAATGCAATCGCGATGGCTTAACGCGGGTATCACGTTTCACCTGCAAAAAGTTCGTTACACTGCTGCAATAAAGTGTTTTTACGACTTCTTATAATAAAACTCTAACAAATAAATGAAAATTGATATCGGCTTCATTTTATAGAAATAAACTCCCAACTCAACTTTTCGGCACACAATTTTAGGCTTCTTTAATCCGAAAAATTTTGACATTCGCTAAGTTCGAAATTTATATACCATAAAGCATATATATATATATATTCGAATATATTAAAAAGACATTTCTGTTAGAGAAAAATTTAACTTATTTATTATGGGACATTGGAGAGAATTCACAATGTCCGAGTTGAGCGTGGAAATCACTACTTGACGATCTATCGATTGCGGGATACTTAGAACCTATTTTCTCCCCGACAGGACGACAAATGGCGATAGCACGTGTTCGCGGTGGCAGATGCGATTTCTCGCGTGTCACGATCCTCGATCATGGAGCGATCTCAAGGCAGCCGGGCACCTTTCTTGATTCACGGACAATGGAGATCGATGACACCCGGTGTACATTCGAAACGCGGAGAGCCCGACGACGGTTTCCGTCGCAGACGCAGATGTGCAATTTCACGAGCGCGCGCGTGCCGATCACAATGGATCGATGATGGCACGAGGTCTCTCCTGGATCGAACAATGGAATCTGAGCACAAGAATCGCGACTTGAAAAGGACAGGGAAAAGGGAGAGACGGAGAGAGACTGATGTTCCGGAAAATGAATCGTTCTTTCCGCGGAACGATCGCAGATACGTTTCGGGCAGTTTCACCGTAGGATTGCCGCTGGGAGCACGATAAATGTTCACCCGAGCGTCGTAATTAATTAGCATCGAGACCCTATCGTTCTAAATTTAGCAAAGCTGAGTTTCACATCTAACGTTCCTTCGACTCGTGTCGAAGCTTACATCAACATCGCGGTAAGAACGAGGATAAAATATCGCAGTGCATTCAATCGCAACACCCCGAAAAATTACCCGCGCGGAAGGAAAAGAACCTCACAGCTCGATTTTATTACTCGCCATCGATTCGATGTCACTCTTCATCCCGCGTGATCCTCGCGAAAACCCGAAAATCCTCAGCTGCCGGCCTCAGCTGTCGGGATCGGAGCGATGGAGAAAGAGAGCGGCGGGCACGGCGTTGTTGGAAACGTCGCGTCGTAGGGACGGATCAAACGAGGGGGAAAGATAGAGAGAGAGAGAGAGAGAGAGAGAGAGAGAGAGAGAGAGAAAGAAAGAACGACAGGAGTGGAAGAGGGGCATAATGCGAAAACCGACGCGGGGTACAGCACGAGGATACGCGCGACCCCCGAGAGCTCTGAACGGCACACGCGGCAGACCGGCAGGCAGGCAGGCAGGCAGGGTAGTTTTCCCCCCGCCCTAAAACTACCACCGACCGCTTCCGGGCCTCGCGCGTTTTAGCCGCCGCTGCCGGCGCGGAATTCACAGCTTAGACTGTCAATGCCTACGGAGCAGCAGCATACGGGCATCAAGCTGGCATCAGCGAGCGACCTGGTGGCACACGCCGGCGAATCGCCGACACGAGCGGGTGCTCTCGCTCTCCTTCGCGCGTTTGCTACGCGTTCTCTCGCCCGCGCGCGATTTATGGATTCACTATCTAGTCGCGTGGCCCCGCTGGGCGCCCGAGGAACACCGACCGCGAGTGTGTGCCATTCGCTGCGACGACATTAGGGTAGCGTTAGAAGACGTCACCGCCGTCTCTTCTTCACCGCTACCCCCCCCCTCTGTGTGCCACCGGTCGGGGTGAAAACCGAGTGCTGAAAAATGGTTCACGTGCTTTTGGAGGGAAGTGCGCCGATCAGTGTGACGCTCGAATGATGTTGGGATGGTATCTTCGCTGCTCTCGAGCAAAGCGTACCGATGTTGCTCGCGCGGAGTTCAGACACTTTTTATGGTATAGAAAAGTCATCGGAAAGCTGACGGCAGATTTTCCTGTCGCAGATTATTTGTCGGGACTCTGGATAAGAGAAGCAAGTGGAATTTATGAAGAAGGAACAGTGTTACGGTTTTGAAACGGTTTTATACGATCGAAGAGGGAGGCATTATATTTTTGATACAATTTTTTACCCGTTTTTACCCGGTGGAGAAAAAAGAAAGGAGGAGTTTCGTTCAAACCGAGCCAAATATACATATCCTTGTGAAAAAATGCTCTCTATATCGAATTGTTCTCCAGCGATTGGATCGCAGTGAGAAATGCGAAGTGCGACGAGCTGAACAAAGTACAAGCTCTGAACAAAGAAACAAGCAACACCATCATCAAACTGGCGAGTGCAAAGCTCGATAGCCAATAACTAACAATGTTGAGCCTGAAATACTCTAATCCAATGCGACGCAACGATAATACCTATTGATCAGAATTATTCGGCCGATACATCCGACGTGTATTTATCGGGATTGTTTAATCAACGTCCACAAGTGCCGCTAAACGAGACCAATTGACCAACGTCTAATTTCTGTTTGCCGGCAACGATTGAGTGGCGAAATAACTGGTCTACCGAGGAGAGGATTAATTGAGCGCGACTGTGGGTGCGATTATTAATCCATCGATCGACCGAGATCGATCGGGAGCGGCGGGGTGGGTGCGTCCGTTCGTCGCGAATTGGGAACGCGTTTCGTCATCATCCGCGGAAAAGGCGCCTAAACGCGCGAAAGCGTTTACCCGTACTATTCTAATCCTCGCGTCCTTGAGACCGTCACGGGGATCCGAAGTTGCTGTCGTCTCGCGGTGCCCGGCTGCGCCTGGAACTTGGCCGTGGCCGATCGAAAACGCGACGGGGGCATTTGCTGGCTGCCGCTTCTACCAACAAACGCGCCGTCGTGGAGGAGAGTTAAGAGATGCCGCGGCCGAAAATAAAGGGGCGGCGAAGGGATCGGATCGAGAAACGTAATCCACGACGCAGTTGGCGGACGCACGACGCGCCGAGCGCTGATTTCCGCTGATCCTCGAGAGCGTCTCCGAGGGTTCGACGGTGAGTCTCCCCGACGATGAGATCCATTTGCGCGGGATGACGCCAGCGAGGCGTCGAGTCATCGAGTTTCACTCTCGCCGGTGGGCTCGATTTTCTCGAGTCCGAGATCACTTAAGTTAACGCTGTATCCCGTATTGTTACATAACGTCTTGCCTAATCCTAACAACCACAATATGTTTTATCCAAATGCCTGATGGAATGTAACTTGAGCCTAATGCAACTCGTGTCGCAAGGGACGACCTGAAAATTGCCAAATTTTTGCTCTAATTTGTAAAAACAGGGGATTAAAAGACGCGACCATTGACTTTGTAGTTTTCCGACAAGGCGTCACCGCGCCGTCGCCGCGATATGCATCGCGACTTATGCGATAAATTCTGGCGGTATCCTTTTTACTCTTCTGTTGCCAGGACAACCATACTACGTACCATATCATAAGAACCGAAAGACGCGATTCTAGACGCGAGTCAGTTTGTTTGCGATTACCCGAACGCTCGGTATGTAATAAACTTTCTTGATATTCGTGTTACGATAATTCGCCCCCACGGATCACACATCCCGTCTCCTCTCTCCTTACAATTTATATTTTGATGTTTGTTTAATTTTGACTGCTTTAACTTTCTAATTTTGTTTGTGAAAATTGTGCCAAAAATCCGATTCGCGAGAGTGGACGGTATGATAACTTAAAAACAACCGTCGGCTGCTGCTCTCGAAAAATTCGCGAGGTTGTCGAAGTGTCCGACCGTCACGTGAGACAAATATAACTCCGTGCGATACAACCAGCTACTACAACGTAAAGCAACGCGATACTTAATATTTTTCATGTTTGTGGCACGGTTCCAAACGTCGGCCTCTTTCTTTCTTTTCAAATATCTCCGCGATTTTCCGCACAATTCTCGGCTTATTCTCCTTCACCTATTCTCCGCTTTTCACCTATTCATCTTCTCTCTCTCTCTCTCTCTCTCTCTCTCTCTCTCAAGCTTTTAACCTCGGTCTAGCTTAAAAATTCAGTGCGTTCAATGAAAAGCCTCGCACAGAGTAGTCCGACTCTGCTAATGCTAATGAATATTTCCCCTTTCGGTACATATTTATCTCTCACGAGCGATCGATATGAGGCTGTTTTGCATTTAGACGAGCCTCCATTTAAAGTTCCTCGAGAACATAATCTCGAGTAAATAATAGCCGCCAGACGAGTATATGAATCATTGAAATACATCCCGATTGCCATGATAAAACCTAACGAGAATAAAAAAGTATCTTTTGTTCGAAACGAATTTAACTCTGAGACAACATCGGTAACGAGCGAGTACGGTATTAGGGGCTTGAAAATATAAATAACTACGGAAAAGTAAATTAAAAAGAAAAAGAATTAAACAACTATGAAAAGCACACTCAAATCTATCGAGTATTTCGCGTCTACTCAACACACCTATTTTTCCACAGATTCCAAGAGGGGCCTGTCGAGAAGGAGGCAAAACTGAATCGAGCTCATTCCCTAGAAAGGGCAAAAGCAAGCGGTCGTCGACCTTCGACCACGGACTTGCGACTCGAGTGGGCCGTGGGAGAACTTGAAGAAGCGAAAGTGCGCGCCTATCCTCTGGCGTGATTTCTCTTATCAACGGGGCACTCGAGGGCTAATTTTAAGCCCTTTTCAAAGGCGAGGCTCACGCAAACACTACAGGTCACTGTGATGATCAACCATGGCGCCAGAAACGACAACCCTGACGAGTCTCTTGGTACTGCTGCTCATGGCAATCGCAGCCTGCTCCTCGCCCAGGATCATCGCTACCACCCAGGCGCCCTTTGGCAGAATTCTAAAGCCCGTGAAACTTCACGAAGGATATATGGAGGTGGTTCAGGAACAGAGATGCTCTCATGCCCTTTTGCGACTAACATGCAGGTACGTGAGCGTTTTTTCTCGCGTAAATTCTCGTAACGTTTTTAACGAAGCGTTTAACCCAATGCAAGTAGCTTCATTTTGTGTGAATCACAGTGTTAACATCAAGTTCTATATCGAATCAAAAAGATAGATAATAATGTGAAACTGTTTGTACACTTGTTCAAACTGTTTTTTTGTAACCTTTGTACATTTACTTATATAAATATGAAATTATATGACAGATATTATCGGTTGTAATAAATCCAGCTTTGCGTTTCCAGGTCGCTGAAAGCATTCATCTTTATCCTGGAAGCGGAGTATCACGCGAATCACACGGAGCTTTGTATGAAAGAATCGAAAAAGTTCGAAAATATCAAGATATTGCAGAAAGATAGCGTGCGACGGTGGAAGGACACGAGGCATCTCAAAGGAAACTATATATTTGATGAAGAAGACGGAGAAATGGACATTGTCGATATCAGATCATCATTGAATAGGAGGTAAAATAAATCTATTACGACAAATTGACAAATCTAACGTGACTTGGCAATCTAACGTAATTTTCGAGAAACTTTTCAGAATTTACAAGTTACTCCCTTAACTCCCAAATTGAATCACATCTTTTTGTTAAAAACAAAAAAAAGTTGCACTTTAAAGCCCTGCAAGAAAGGAAGTCTTCATCAAATGTCTGTCTTAAAAAAAAAAAAAAATATATATATATATATATCTAATTTTTCTCTTCTCTCTCTCTCTCTCTCTCTCTCTCTCTCTCTCTCTCTCTCTCTATTACCGATCTATTGGCTAGGCAGAATTTTCATGGCCCTGGCTGGTGATATCAAATCTCTGTTCGTGACAGAGGCATTCGATGACATAAGATTGCATTTGATTACGATCGAGCTCTGAGGTTGACCGCAGTTCTAGAAAACGACATTACTCCCGTACTACAACAAGCGTGTAATAGACACGAGCGGGAAAGTCGAGCTATGATTGTCACAAGACCGTGAGAGAAAAATTCTAGTAATTAATACTGCATGTGAATAAAACGAAGTTTATTAAGAGAGACTAAATTAGTGAATCTGGGCAAATTATTATCAATACATAATAACGTACGTGCAGATAAATAATCTCTCGGGCGCAAAAAGAAAGATGGATGAAAAAGATAGAAGAATGTAACGTGGATCTTAACCGCGATATTTTCCATATTTCGAGAATATGATCCATGGAAAATCACAATATCATCTACTGCGAAACATTCAAGACAGCCACTTGATCGAGTCACCCTCCCCGCCCCGGTTCCCGTTTTTATCCGCCTGCTTGTCGCGCACTCGAGAGCCGTCGAGGGTCGAGTGAAATCTCGACGTTTGATGTGCGAGGGTAAAAGCATTCCAGAAGCAATAATTGCCCTCCCCTTGACCCCTCCCACATCCCCGAAATGCGCGTCAGATGATCGCCGAAGGAGAAACGATCTCTGCTAAATGGTTCCCCACGTTTGCACAGCGTTACGCTCCAAGAATTCTGCAAATGAGGGATGGTGTAATGGCGAGCTATGCAAATTTTGCATCGCTGAAATTGCACCAACCCCTTTTCTCGAGGCAACGAAAAATAATATCTGTAAGGCAGATATAAGATACCCGGCATTCTTGACAGCGAAAGAATTGCGGAAAAGAGTTGAAATATTACGAGAGTGCGTTATTATTGTTACCGTGGTGGTGCTCGGCAAGTAAACTATTACATATAACATGATACAACAAGAGATGATATTATAAAAATGCAACTGTCGCGGGAAACGCAATTGTTTCATGACTCAAGTAATGGAGAGCGGCAATGGCACGTTTCAATCTTTCACAATATCTTACAGGCCTCTCAAAATCGACAGTCGAACATTCGTTCGTTCGCGTCACGTTCATTAATTTTAGCCGAGGTTGCTGTTTTTCTCGCGACGCTTCGTACAATTTCCCGGAGACGGTGTTTAAATCTTTCAAACATTATTGGTAAACGGGATGATTTACCGTAGTCCTGGAGGACATAGTCGAGCAGCCACCCGCAACTTTCAATTCGAGAGAATTCGCCATCGAGCTAAAAAATTTTAAGAGATTCCACGCAAGGGCGAACATTGCGGGGTTGAAATGTTATTTCCCTTTTATTTCCGCTCTCGCGGCCCGATAAAATCGACGAGGAGAGGTCGTCGGCGGCGCGAGGCGGCAGTGAGGCCTCTTAAAAGGGGTGAAAATCCACCCTCGTTCATTATTCACTCCTGCTTTCGGCGCGAACAACAAAGATCGCGCGCGCGCAGGGTAGCAACAATCGTGGGCCCACCCCTGCATTCCATCCCCCCAGAAAATGCCGGGGGGTTGCTTTTGTCAGCGCGTTCGCAGACCCTAATGACCGACGTCGCTTATTTAATTGGCGACTGTCGGACAATTGATTGCGAGTATCGAACGCGGAACCTCGCTTTCGACTAGCGTGCTTTATTCATGTGAAGAAAAAATATGAAATTTTAACGCGAGATATGTCCGGGATGAAAGAGGGAGAGAAGGGGGAGAGGGACGAGGGAAACAATTTCGTAGAAAAGAAGCGGTCGCTTTGTTGATGAAAACGTTGTATGAAAACGTTAAATCGTTACATTTTAACGATACCCCCCTCTAAATATATTTTCTCCCCGCTCGATATCCCGTAATTATTGCAATACGCGATCCAAGTTGTTCCTCGTTAATTTAACACGTCGTTCTGCGCTTTAGGTGCTCGGGTCAGAAGCACTGTCGCTATAACATAACCATCGATCATCCGAGCGCAAATTCCTGGATCCCAGGTGGAATCCTGTTAAAATACGCCTGCATACCGGGTAAGTATATGTTCCACAGCTGTATCGGAGCTTATTATAATATCGCCGGAGCTCGATTAATCACCTTACAAGGCTGTGAAAGAAGATAACAAGAGCCCCTCCTCCAGGATACTATTTTCACGAAGAACTTCGCAGCACTTCCGCGTATTAACGCGTTCTACAAGCGTTAATCGGAGCACGAACAAACAGCCATTTGTTCGATTATGCTCGGAAACACACGCTGCCGAGTTTCTCCTGTTCTTAAATCCTCCCCCTCCCCTCCCCCTTATCGCTACCTCCAACTTTCTTCGAATTACGCCGCCGTACACACACACAAGGGAGAGGGAATTAAAAGTAATTCGAGGAACATTGGAAGCAATTGGGAGGAAATGGAGTCTCCTAGTTTTCCGCCGCGCTTCCTCCGCTGTTCCCCGAATTACCTCCAACTTTCTCCCACGTCTCGTTCGGTGTGTGTTGCCCATTATCGATGATCTTGTTTAAATGTATACGCGGACAGCAGCAGACTCACGTGCTTTACCATGTGCGCGATATTTCTAATCTAGCCGTGTCCATCGGCGGAAAAGCCGGGTTTGTTCTTGCACGCACGTGTGCGCGATCGATGCGCGAGCGTGCGCAATCGATGATCGACAACGTCGATAAAGTCCAGGTCGCCACCTACGCGCACAGGTCGCGCGAGCGGAAAATGCACGTTTGGAGGTACACGCTCGACACGTCACGCGCGGCACGTTCGCGACAAAATCGGCCTGAGATTTCTATCGCCCGCGACCGTTGTCCGCGTCCACGCCCGTCCGCCAGCTGGCGACGATGCACGCTCGATCTTTATTGACCGTGGGATCGCAGGCGTGTGCGCGCGGAAATTCTCCCCGAAGCCGGCCGGGTAAGAAACGGTGGATCCAATCGCACGATTTCTGGGTGCAAGCGAGCGAGCGAGCGAGCGAGCGACCCAAAGGACTCGTAATCCTGGCGTTCTGTGGGGCGCTCACGTAGCGAGGAGCCGCGCGGGAGGACGCGGAAGCTATTACGATGATTTCCCCGCGACACGTAGAGTCATCGGCTGTCGAATTGCTCCTCCGCCTCTCTCGCTCCAATTTGAAAAGAATCATTTGTCGGAAGTGAGAAACAAGGAATCACGTGTGGATATCCGTTAGAGCGCGACGTACGGTGTAATAGATGATGTAATGTCGTGTACGCTTAGCTGGCCTAGCTCCTTATTGTTACATCATCATTACAGTCGCGAGAACTTTCCAGATAACGTCTCTCGTCTCACGCGCGCAGCAACTTCGGCTCAAACGTACGGACTGATATAATAGAACTACGGCCAATCTCAAGACTCAGGAGCGCGTCGAGACTTTCCAAACACTTTAATTAATAACGTAAGATATTCTTTTCGAGCAAGGCGGATCTCTCGCGAATTCTCGTCAAAGTTTGCGTCTCCCAAATTTACTCCCGCTTCCTTCAAGTATGTGCGCAGCAGTCTACCGAACCGAAGCGCTCGTCGTAGCATCGAAAGCCAGAAATAATTCCAGAGCCGCGCGAGACGTCTCGATCGAATGAAAGGCGTTTTCATTAGGTCCGGACAAACGCTCGATTGAACTCGAGAGACGATTCGAACGCGGAGACGGCCCGCTACTCAATGGGACAAAACATTCCGCGAAGGTCGTCACACTTGACGGAATATCGGAAACGACGTTGCACATCAAAAGAAGCAGCAGGAAGAGGAGGAGGAGGAGGAGGAGGAGGAGGAGGAGGAGGAGGAGGAGGAGGAGGAGGAGAAGGAGGAGAAGGAGGAAAGTCAGGACACAGGGCCAAACTTCCCCTGCATTGCCCTTATTACCACTACGAGCGAATTCCACCCCTCCAGCGGAGCGGACTCTACCCATGAAACTGGGGCAAGGACACCCTCACCCGTCTGGCTCTGCTTGCTGCAACGCTGTAAAGGGTCCCGCAATCGCGTCAAATGCACGGCGACAAATGGACCGCGACGAACGCAGATGTTAATGCGACCTTATATTAGGCGACGCTGCTGCAGCGACGACGCGACCCGCAGAATCTTTCGCTGCCCCGGTAAAAAGAATTCCTTTCAAAGCGAGGAAACTGCCGGCGGTTTATGATTTGTTACTCGGCGGGGATTTAATCAGAGAGGGTGGTCATAGCCAAAGGGTAGCGTTGAATCAACGGGGGGGGGGGAGGGTGCGCGCGCCTGTGACGCGTCAGAACGCGTCGTTGGAATAATTCCGCGTCATAATTTATCCGCGCGCATTACATGCAACGATAACCACGCGATTTAAATCGTGCTGAATTATAGATAGGGAGCGAGAGAAAGGGAGAGGAACCATTCAATTAATCCGCCGCCATTATTTCACTGGAATATTATAAATGCTCCATACTTAAAATAATGTAACCTAGTGCATTCAACCTAATCTCGCATAAGCGAGATCACGTTTTCATATTTCATTAATTTATAACCGAAGCGCGCACTTACACGCATGAACGGAAATTTATTCCACGTCCCACCGAAATGTTTCCTCAGGAGTGCATACGCGAAGCGATACCGCCCACCGTGCAAATGCAGTTCCTTCCATCGACGCACACACACACACACATACAAACGCCGAGTCAAAGATTAATTATTAATTGATTATAGAAGGAGCAGTCAGGCGGTACTGCAACCAAAAGGTGAAGGTGATCGCCGGGGAAGGAGGTTACATCAACACTCCGGGCTACCCATTATACTACGTTGGGAACATCACGTGTGGATGGACCTTCGTCACGCTTCCGGGACAAAGAATAGTTCTGACCTTCCACGACTTAAATATCCTCGGTGAGCTTGCACCCGAACAACCCTCAACCACTGAACTTTCCCGCGAGAACGCGACGCGTTGAGCCGGCCAAAATCGGAGCCTCTTTTATCGGCCACGATAACAGACTAGTTATACATTTATATTTGTTTTCGACCAACAAACTAAAAAACATACTGGAATTGTGTGCAGTTTTGGATGGCGCAGCTAGGAATAAAACGTAACATCACTGGCGCGCTTCTCTGTTTCATTGCGAAAAATAAACCGGTGAAATTGTTCGCTCGGATAAAATGGAAAACTTCAGAGAGGAAAAAACACGCGGCGGGATAGAAAAATTATACAGCTGACTACGTTACTGACAATATTACATATCGCCTCTTTTAATTTCAAATTTCCTCTCTCCCTTTGTTTAATCCCGCATTATTCGCGCTGACCACCTCCATCTTTCTCTCTGCCCCCGTATGAATAACGAATCGCTGACATATAACCAGTTTATGACAAAAACGATGTATCTTGCTGCCAGATGCGATGCATATACAACAAAAGCCTTCGATCGCGTTAAGGGGTTAAAAGCTATCTCCGGATCGCGTCGATCAACGTCGAAGAAATAAACGAGCTTGATTTACGCGCGCTCTCCGCGGCTCCTAAATAGAAACTGCAAATATAAATCCCCGCAGGTCCACAAGCGAACGGAAGCTGCGTGGACATCGTGAGAGCGCGGGACGGAGACAGAATTCTCTTGGAGTTCTGCGGCACCGCGGCGGGAGTTCAGGTCGTCTCGAACACGAATCTGTTGACGCTCGACTTCGTCGCTTCCAAGAGATTTCACAACGCCCGAGGTTTCTTGCTGCATTACCAAGGTAAGAAAGAAAGAAGGAACAGAGTCTCGCCCAAAGGTGCGAGGGTATAAGGTTGTAAAGCATAAAAAGCGCAGTTACGTAATGATTACTGACTCGAGAATAACGTTGACGTGGAAGGTAGTATTCCACGTCTCGCTCAGCGCGAGTCTTCGCGATGGTAAAGCCCGTGTGTATTGTTCGTGTGAAACTAACATTTTGCTGTAATTAATAGAAGCCCAGATAGAAAGTCCCCCAAGTGTTTTAGAATTCCTCAACTGCGCTCCAGATAACGTTTAATCCTTCCGGAAATAAGTCGAGAATATATTCTAAAAATGGAGCCGACGTCAGAACCCTCGGGAGAGATTAAACTTGGGTCTAAAGTAGAGCCGCCTCTGTCTCTCTTTCTCTCTAGTGTATTCGATGGTAAACTATACATTTATAATCGAAGCCGACTGTACAGAAAACTTTCGAGCTTCTGTTATTCTCGAGTGTAAAGAAATACTTCTTTTCGGTCATGCGAATGTTGCGACGTATCGAGAAAGACCAGCGAAAGACATCGTCGGCAAATTACAGCGAGTTAATATTAACCAATCGTGAAAAACGTCACGTATGCGAGCTCATATTGAAATGAAAAGAAAAAGGAACGAAAAACTAACGAAGAGATAACACGTAGAATTATTAAGTGGAATTTAATATTAAATATTAACTGATGATTTTAAATACGTACTTATGCATACGCATGCGTTTTCATCGCTAATTACTTCATCAGCTATATCCCGGCGGGAGAGTTGATCTCTTAATAATGAAATCGAACTTCGGTATGAGAGTGACCTACTTCGCTCGGTCTCTCCGCGGTCTTTGTCGTCGATGTTCGGGAGTCGCACGAAAAGTTCCTGTATATAATGGAAATTCTGCAGAGCGGCGACAGCTCGATATCAGATATCGTGTCGGCGCTTTAAGGTAGGCCGGGATGTTAATTGCAAAGATAAAGGTGGAAATGAACTCGCTTGCAGCGCTGGGCTGTCCAGAGATCTCGCCGCCGAACGGAAGTTACATGTCGAACGGTACATTGACTTCGCGGACATTCCTATGCAAGTCGGGCAGCGTGTTTCCCGACAGCGGGGACAGAAAAAGGACGCTCGAATGCAAGAATGGCAAGTGGAACGAGACCGCTACCAGGCTGCCTGATTGCATAGGTAAGAACTTTTTTTCCTCTCTCTCTCTCTCTCTCTCTCTCTCTCTTTCTTCTTTCTTTCTGCTCGAATCAAACGAACCCATTATATTTCTCCGACGTTCTTTTACAACGGACGAGCATAAATCCGACGTTCTTTATTATATCCGTTTATGTACTTTATTATATCTGTATTATAGTTATGCGTCCATTATTATATCGTGATGAAAAATGTATCGTATCCAGTTTCGATGTGAATTTATATATACATCTTCTCGGAGATTTAATTTAAATTCCTATCGTAAAAGCAGCGCGCAGATAATGCGCGATATCGCACATGAAATAATATGCACAGGAAATCTGTTGCTACACATTTGAATCCCAATTTCCTCGCTGGTTATTTATTAACTTTGCTCGGCACACATATAGAGAAACGTTTACTTTTGTAAATATAAATCAGCAAATTTCGTTATAAACTTGGAAAATTTTGTATACTCAGGAGGGAACATGCTGTAATATTGTATTAACATTATTACATTCAAAACAGTATATAATAATTATAACACTTCCAATTATACAGCATGTAATCCTGAACGTGTGCTACTTTTTATCACATTACGTGGTAATTAACGACACACAATCATGTTAGTGAGAGATATTACGTCAAAATCAGCGACATTATAAAATTAATTGATTAATAGCAAAAGTCTGACTCACATCAGAGTCAGGCGATAAAGCATTCGATGTAATTTCAAAATTTATGCCATGTATCCCATGCTTTTCTCGAGCGCGATATTATCCCTTTCTTCCACGATACTATCGTTCGAACACCCCTAGTTTGAACACGAGACACGACGCGTTGTTTCCCGCGATTAATTCGAGGTTCACGCGTGCGTCGGACACGCGTGAATTCACGCAATAGTCAGCACGAATTATACAGCCAGGCGCTCGAGATAATCGATACGGCCCTTTCGGGTCGGAAACCTCGTGGGTAGTGATGGTACCGAAACCCTATAAAAAGTCCTCAGCGGCAGTTCTCGGTTATCGCAAATAGTTGGAGGGAAATTTCACTATATAATTCTCGATGCTCACTTTTATATTCCACGAAATGGTATGCGTTCGATATCTACTTGATTTCGACTTTTTTACGTAACACATTCTACAAGAGAAAATCTAAAATTTGATATTATATTTAATAGTAACGAATTAAAGCATTCGCAAACTTCCTTACGTTGAATTTGACGTAATTATGTAATTTGTCAGTTAAAAAAATAAATTCCGTTCCTGAGTTCGTAGAAGAGGAAGGGGAAGAGCTAATCTTATCAACTCTTATCAGCTGTTATCGAAAGTTTGTGTTTATCATATGCGCGATACTGAGAATACGCGAGTGAATATTTGTTCGTTGAAATCGGTACGAGTGCCATCGCTATCCATGGCTGCCCATCGCAACGAGGGGGCTTTCTTCCCCCTTCGCAGAAAATGGTGGGGGTTCCCTTCTCGGGGAAGGGAGCGACCGATACGGTATCTCGGTAGGGGGAAGGAGAAACAAGGATGGCCCGAGAGAGTCTTAGGGCAGAGAGGGCTCCAAAAGGCAACCATATATCGTCGCTGTCGCTCGTCGCGACGCCAGTCGTCTGGACGCCACGTGTCTCTTTGGACGCGAAAAATACGTCGTATAAACTCGCCCCGAAATTTCAAGTTTCATCTCCGGTCGCGGACGTGGCCGACATATAGCGCCTTGAAAAAGCGCGAGTACGAATTTGATAACTCGAAGAAGTTTGCCGCGACAGCAGATAAGGTAATTAATTAACCTACAAAGTCGTTGAGTCGCAATGCAATTTGTGATTTAAAGTTACATAAACGACTAAAGTGACTTTATCGATAAATCAGAGTTATATTTTGGTTATAAAGCGAAGTCGAAGTTTATGCTGGACGATTCGTATGAAAAAGAGCTTAAGGAGGTTTCTTAAAAAAGGAACTCAAATAATATGTCCGCAGAGAATTATTCAGAGTGCGAATTGTGTAAATTTTGTAAATCCGTGAATGAATAATTAAAATTGTAGTGCAGAAATGAGCAGAAAGAAAATTTGTGTTTAATTAAAGAATAAATTTAGCAGCTATGTTCTCAACTAAAAATCTTGCACCATCTGGTGCGTATTAAAAATTCGTTTCTCTATATCGCCAAGTCCAGGACAAAGTACGCGATGACTCGGAGTAAATAGCGATTTACAGACAAGCACTTCTCTCTCCTAACTCAATTGAAACAATCGATATCGAAGGCGAGGTCAATGAAATGATCTTCCTGTTGAACCCTCGCACTCGAGCGATCTCTGAACTAATTAATCTCGCGTTCTGCTTCTTCTTCTCTCTCTCTCTCTCTCTCTCTCTCTCTCGCTCTCTCATTGGCTCTTTCATACGAATCGCTCCGACTGCTAGATAGGGATTAATTATTAACAGGTCGTTAATCATCGGCCAGCGCAGAGACGTAATTAAATTGTTGATCCGGTCTCAGCTGCTTTGGCCATATGATTCAAATATGTTCTTTTTGATAACGCAAATGTACGAACTAATCTAATAGTTTATAAACTATTGAATATATAAGGCAAAAATTACGCGATGCAAGAACGCATCGTAAGTATTATCACAATTTTGATAATGATGAAAAAGATGAATGTTATAAGAGTCTCGATAATATAACTGAAACTAAAATATTAAATTTTTCTTTAACTTTTTTAATTCAATGTTATGCTGTCTCTTTTTCTGCTTCTTAGAAAATATTTTTCTACCAATTATTTTCGAGAGATAAAAAATCTCTGTTCCACCGTCAAAGAATGCGGTATTTTTTCTCTCGTTCATTAAAAATTGTCATGTTTTTCATCTATATCCGCTATGGAAACACCTATTCTTTTACTACCTATCTTTTTCTATACTGCGTGGTCATCCTTCCATCCCTTTTTATCTTCCCTAAACATACTTTGACTACTACGTGCGCATGAATCGCGCACGTAGTATTAAATTCTTGAGCGCATTGAAAACATTAAAAATATTGACAGGAAGAGAAAGATATTGCTGACAGTCACGGCTTAAGTTAAAGCTCGCTCTATAAAATATCCGCCCGTGTAAAACCGGTGGACAAAGGAAAGGGGGACATGGAAAAGCCGTGGGTGGTAGCGAGACATTGCTTTGTACGTGACTAAGTACTCCTCTTTTTCGTTTCCCTGCTGGCGGATTGGCTCTAGTACCCGAGAAACAATCATTCGGTTACGAGGTCCACAGATCTTCCGCGATAGAGATTAACAGCCGAACGCTCCTCCGTGCTCCCTAAAGCATCGCCAGATTAAATTTGAACCTCTCAAAGCGTCAGTTTTAATCACATTGCGCGCAAAGGGCAAATAATAGTTCACTATTGTGAGTTAAGTAAAAAACAAACCTAAGAAAACTAAAAACGTCTGAAGAGAACGCCCGCTGAAGAGGGTTTCCGCGCGTTTATCTAGCTTTTATACAAAAAATAACACAAATAATTCGCGCTAAATTCATTCGGTAAGATAAGTCGAATGTTTTAAAGTTCGTCGGACGTTGAAACGTATTTCAAGGATGCGGAATAAGTATGCCAACGGTCTTTGTTGTTCCAAGGCTTTCTAAAATGCAACAGCAAGAAAGAAGTCCTAGGCTTAGCAACTGCCATAACATCGTTTTTTCACGGTGCTATTCCACTAAAATACTCGGGTGCAAAGGTCGTAAAAAGCCGGTGCACGGAGGAAAAGGAGAAAAATTATATATCGACAGAAGGATTAAAATATTCCTCGGAAGCAGCAAGTCATCCTACATGAATTTTTTCACCGAAATTTCTAGCACAAAGACACTCGTGTGAGATTAGCTTTAGATGTCTGCGCGAAATGTTGAATGTCGAATTTAAGTAGCAGAGGAGAAAAATAACAATTTTCGTCATAAAAGACCCATTTTTTCCCTCGACGACGACAAGCAAGAGGAAACGAAAAAGAAAAGAAAAACGAAAATGGAGATGAGTGCCTAAGCGACACAAACTGACGAAGAAGATAAAGCGAAATAATCTGCAACACAAGGCACGTCTCGCGCGGCGCGCTTTTCCATTTCAATCATCGTCGAAACAAAACCAATTTGGCCCGCGCACGCCGAAAGAAACCCATTTCCACGCGTGAGGCCGGATGACGGGCCCCAATTTCCCAACAAATAAAATTGGATTTTCCGTTTGTCATATTCGAGCAAGGGATAGAAAGAGAAGGAGAAAGAGAGAGAGAGAGAAACGCGGGCGTTTCAGTTTCGCACGACGCGTATGCACATGTGCACACAAATTCGACGGAGATGCACGCGCGCAATTCGGAAGCTAACGCAGCTGGCGATGGCGTTTCTGCGCGCGCGCGCGCGCGCGCGCGCGTGTGTGTGTGTGTGTGTAAGAAGTGCGAGAGGATACGAAAGAGAAAGAACAGAGACGAGCAGACTTCGCGTCCTGACGGGGTAGGAAGCGATAAGGATGGAGGGGATTTCCGAGCCAACCCTCTCGTCCCCTCACTCTGCTCGCTCGCTCGCTCTCGTTTATCCTGTCTTTTTCTCTTTCTCTCCCTCTCTCTCTAGCCTCTCCTCTCGGAGATAAATTTAGAGTTGGCGGAATAAAACAACGGCGCACACAGCTGTGCACCGTTCGAGCTCTCTGCCTCTGCGAAAGTGCACAGCCTGGAATTGTTGCTGAAACGAAAACCTCGTCTAAATGTATAGCGACGTAGCTCGTCATGGAGAAAGGGGCTCGCCGAAGATTACTTGTAATTATTCGCCGAAGGAAACTTAATTTCTCCCGGTGTAAGACATGTCCAAAGACTCCGCGCGGCGGCATTCTATGATTACGACGTTATTATTGTTATTTTTATCGCAAGCGGGGGATGTTATTAGATTCCAATATCTTCTCGGGATTATTACGTAGAGAGAGATTACAGAGGAAGAAAATAATTTTCTTTCTCTTTCGAGCAATACAGAGTATATCAAAGGGGAACT